GTTGATTTGCATATTACCCATCATTTCAATACAAAGGTTATTTATAAGTTTTTTTGACACAATCCTAACACATAATGTGGTGTGACAAAGCCACAACAATCAAGGAGGCTTGTAATTATTTAATTGTCTTAGGATGAATCGGACATGTCAATCAATCAACAGGCAGTGCCCTTTTTATATTAAACAGGATGTGGCCGAAACCGGTTTGGCTCAGTGGATAGAGCATCGGCCTGTGGACTGAAAGGTCCCGGGTTCGATTCTGGTCAAGGGCACATACCTTGTTACGGGCACATCCCCAGTAGGGGGTGTTCAAGAGGCAGCTGGTCGATGTATTTCTCTCATCGACATTTCTAACTCTCTATCCCTCTCAATTCCTCTCTGTGTAAAATCAATAAAATATATTAAAAAAAAAAGTTTAAACAGGATGTGATTATATATAAAATGAAAAGGATGTTATCATATTGACAAATAAAAACATTTTAGAATGCAGGTCATTAGCTGGAAGAATATTAACTTCTCTATTTATATAATTTGATTTCTTTCCCAGCAAAAAATAAAACAGTCTGGCCACGTGGGGTGGCTTGGTGGTTGGACCTCGACCTATGAACCAAGAGGTCATGGTTTGATTCCCAGTCAGGGCACATGCCCAGGTTGTGGGTTCGATCCCCAGTGTGTGGGGGGGGGGGGGGCCGGGGTGCTGGAGGCAGCCAATCAATGATTCTCTCCCACCATTGATGTTTCTATCTTTCTCTCCTCCCTTCTTCTCTGAAATCAATAAAGATATATATTTTTTAATAAATAAAACAAAACCATTTTTTAAGTATAATCTTCTTGCTTAAACTAACATTGAGAATCTCATATCAACATGAATGGATTAACTAACAAACTGTGGAGATCCCAAAAACTAAAAAGTGGAGGTCCTAATACAGTTTCAGTATGTTTAATGCAAATACACTTTCAAGGCAGGCCTTGTGATCATGTGAGATACATTATTTGAAGAGAATAAAAAGGCACATCAAGGCTAGTTATGCACACAGTGGGTATTCTGTAGTCATCTGTTTATTTTATACTTAAATTTAACTCATAGATGTGAATATATGTAATTAATAAACCTCTGGAGAAAATTGTAGGCAAGAAAAAACAACTCCTTCTTAAAAGGTAGCTGATACAAACAGCTACAGAAATGAAAATTACCCACATATTAAAACTTAATTCACCAAACCAAATTTACTCTCAGACATGTCCATTTTCTGTGTAAGAAAATTAGGTTCTCCTCAGTATCTTATCATTATAAATTGTTTGAGAAACAAAAGGTTTGCATTACCCATTTTAAACAAATGATCAAATTAACAAGTTTTCCATAACTACATGGCAAAATGTTCTATTGCCCAAAGAGATACAACAAAATGGATCATTAAGAAAATATCTGCAGATTACACAGTTTCTATAAATTGCTCCTCAGAACCTGCTAGATCTGGTTTTAATTCAATCTTCTAATTTTATTAATACATATTTGCTATCTTAAAAATGCTGGCTCACATATAAAAATCTTCCAAGAACGTCATCATCAAGTTAGCAAAGAGGGAAAATGCTCTAATGAGGCTGTGAAATCCCATCTTTGTCAATTATTAGTTGTAGAAACTTCCCAAGTTTTTAACATCCTACATAAATGGCAGGGTTTGCCAACTGACTGAATAGGACAAACAGGAGAGGCAGTGGAGACAGCCTGGCGGTATCTCGGCTGGGTAAGCAGAGGGACATAAGAGGAAGAGAAGTAGAGCATCCTAGAGATGGCCAGTTCCATTTTCAAAGGAGAGATGGAGAGACAGAGACACCCAGGAGTGGGTGGACAACAGACTACCAGGAATGTGGCTTCAGACACAGAGAGAGATTTGCATATCATCCTCACAGAAATTACTGGAAATCATAAGTATGCCTAACATCAGCATCAATTTTCAAAAAAAACTTATAAAATGTCACTTTATTTCAAAACACACCCAAATGTAACATAGAAAAGTAAGCATGCATACACATTTCAATCATTTACAAACTTTCTGAATTAAAATATGAACTCTTCTAACGTATGACCAATAAGGTACTGATTATCATGTCTCTAATTTTTCTATGACATCTGTAAACCCCTGAAATTATATACTGCTACTGCTGCTGCTGGTGGTGATGATAGTAATAAAATCTTATAGAGCACTTATTACAGATTAGGCATATTATCCTTCCATGTAGTTTTTCCCCATTAAATTATCATAATTTTAAAGTGGAGATCCCAATTTCAGGATAATCAGAAAGATATGTGATCTGGTTTTAACTTTCACCTCAAATCTATTTGCTAAAACTCCCACTGTGCTCCTGGTTCTTACCTATCTTGTGGGGACAGAGATGGAAACACTGTGGAGTTCTGCCAGGCTCCGTATTTTGCTTTCTCTGGGCAATCTCAGTGATGTATGTGCTTCCTTTTACATTTATTATCACCTCGGTTCACCCAGGTAGACTTGGTCCCATCTCCTCTTCCAAAACTATAAATTTTCCCTCTGAACAAAACTGACTATTCAGCGACCAAACCCAAGACCTTCTTTCCACAACAGGCACTCACTGAGTAAGAGGACTCCTCGCCCATTCACCAAATGAGGGGCCTGGACTCATTCCCTCCATTTCCTTTGAGGGCGGTGACACCCAGCCACATCATCCCCACACCTTTTATCCAGTTTGATTTTCTTAAAACCCATTCCTCAAAAACCAAATTGGCTTTTTCAAAAGTTGATTTTCATTTTTCTTTTCATTTTGTAATCTGGTTTCACTGGCTGTCTCTCCCGCTGTTCCCGTCTCAAAAACACAGAGCGATCCCAGCCTCAGAGCAGGCGGATTAACTGCTCACAGGAACCCATGGCTAGGAAGCCCATCAGGTCAGGAAGCCCCACCCACGGAAGTCGGGGAATCAGCTGCTCCCAGCATTCCCTTAGAGGGGCCTCGGACCTGGAATGCTAGTATGTCAGCACATGTAAGAAAATAATGGGGAAAACGAAGACCAAGGCCAACATGAACTTTTGCTCTCATTACCCAATCCCGAAAGCACAGGAACATTAAGACAAAAATGATCCTTTCTGGTGAAAAGGCTGGAACACTAACCTTTTCTGAGTCTATTGCCAGAGTTTACTGAGGAGCACTCATTTGGGTTAGGGCTCATTTTATTGGTGTGTGTGTGGGGGGGGGGGGGGGATGGATCACCTTAAAAAGCAATTTTGCTAGTGAAATCAATTTTCATTTCTTAAAATATTGGTCGTTCTCGCCTAAAACGAAAACCAAATAATATTAAATATAAACTGTAACTAAAAAATAAAATTAAAACCATGTATCAGTTGCTCTCAGTCTCTACATTTAGCATCTGCAGATTACAAATTAATTCCTCACTGGAGTCTAAGTTCTAAGGAGAAAAAAGGCTTGCTTATCTTCCTTCCACAGCTGCGCCGTGGTGCCTGGTGCACAGTGCACATACATGACGGGCAGCACAGAAAGGCCTGTGAGCAGCAGCTGCAGGAACGTGGGAAGGGAGAGAAGAGAGCAGTGGCTGCTCACCTTCAAAGGGTGTCGGACACTGGGAAACTGAGGCGGGGAGCCTGCCTCTGCCTCACACTCTCAAAGGGACTGTGAGGCCTAGGCAAAACCCCTTTGCGGGCGCTCGAGCCTTCACTTTGCGTGGGGAACACCTGCTCCCGGGGCTGCAGGCAGGGAATGCACCTGCAGACCCTCCGGGCCCAGACCCGGCTGATGGAGCGGGAGCCACCGGCCCGGCCAGCGCAGCACGCCGTGTGGCTGGTGGGAAAGGCAGTATGCTGGGTGGGAAATTCAAACAGCTTTTGTAAAGATAAGGACCAAAAGAGAACGAAAAACATCCCACTGATAAATTACTTTATATTAATCACATGTTAAAACCCTATTTTGGATATATTGGTATAAACAAAATATATTATTAAAATTAATTTCGTCCATTTATTTTTAGTTTTCCTAAGGTGACTTAAAAAATGTGAAAATGTGTATGTGGCTCATATTGTTTCTCTGCTCCAGCTCTAATCCAGGCTGACAATAAGATGCCACCAAAGACAAAGACAGCGGGACCTGACTCCTCATTTCCTAATTTAACTAAGAAACTGGTTAGATTTTCTGCCCTGTACAATCTCCCTTAAGGAAACACAACAGTGTCTGGCAGGTGTGGCCAGCTGGTTGCCCAGTTAGAGCACATGCCAGTAGCAGGTGTATAGGAGGCAGCCCATGAATGTTTCTCATTGATGTTTCTATCTCTCTTCCTCGCCCTTCCTCTCTCTGAAATCACTAAATATATATATATATATATATATATATATATATATATATATATATATATCACTAAATATATATATGTGTATATATATATATACACACACACACACATTATACACACATATATAACATATGTGTGTATAATATATATGTATATATGTATATTATGTGTGTGTGTGTGTGTGTGTGTATACAACAGCAGTGGCATGTGGCATTAGCCTGGATTTACAGATAAGGAAACTGAGGCACCAAGGCAAAACCAGAGCTGGTAAGTGGGAGTGCAACACACTGAACCAGTCAACTTGACCTTGAAATACATGTCTTTCCTCCCCATCTCTCCTCCATTTGCAGAGGGAACTCTCCCCAGGTCAACGAGGCTTAAAAAAGGTTCCAACCACCTTTCCTGACCCACCTTCCATAGCCTTCAACCATATTTCTGATCCACTAAGCCACAGACAAGAGAAACGGTGATTAAAACTCAGGAAAATTACCACAGAGTGACATCCCATGTGCTGTTCTCTCCTATAAAAGAAGTTTCCCTAATTGGGCTCTCTTGCTTTTGCAACTCAAAGTTCCCCACTGGCTCTGCCACTGTGAGTATAACCCACAACACAGCGGGTTAGTGAGTTCACTAATCGGGGCAATGCATTCCGCCAGGAGGGGGAGCTTACTCAGTTTCTTAGCGGCCTCCTGAGCTTCGTTCGCAGTGTCCACTACAAAGAACCTCTGAACTTTCACTCCGTTGTCGGCCATCAGCTTCTTGCTCTGGTACTCCTGCAGGTTCAGCCATCGTCTGGGGGTTAAGTGGACTGCCTAGAGAAATTGGGAGAGAGGGGAACACATAATAACAAGTGAATTGACAGACAACCTATAAGGCCAGTCCTACAGGTACCCTCAAATGGCAGCAACACAGATTATAAACAAACCAACAAATTCTTCATGCTTAACTGTTTTCCTAATCAAAATGTAAAAGATAACCGCACACACAAATACATCAAAATTTTAACAAACTATGAAAAGTAAGTAGGATCTATGTCCAGTAAACAGTAATATATAGAGAGCGCCTGGGAAGGCACATGAGCATTTCTTTGATTATTGTCAGCTGAGTCCAATGGCACTGGCAGAGCCATGTCCTGGAAACATACTGTGCCAGAGGTAGGTATGTTGTCAGCCTGACCCCTAGGCTCAGGTGCCAGGAGTGGGTTTCATTATTTAAATTCAGCCAGGCGCAAGGAACAGACAAATTATCCGGGCTTAGCCAGGAGTGACAATTACAAAGAAGCCACAAGAATGAAGAGTTACAGCTTAATCTTTAACCATGATTTCCCATGATATCCTTTGTTTTAAACTCTGGTAAAACTTCCTGGAATCATGCTATGCATAATAAACACACTGAATCAGGTCTGGGTCACTGTCAGGGGGCAGTGTCTCACCTGGTGCCAGCTTTCCCTATTATTTCCCTGGTCTCCTTTGTTTCCTTTTCTCAATCCCCAGCTGCCCCTTCTCAGGAACACGTCCACTCTCTAGCCATGCTGGTCACAGACTAAGAGAGAAAAACTTATAATAATGTACCAATGTCGATTTCCTGGTTTTGCTGCTGTACTAAAACTATGTAAGATGCCAATGTTCGGAGAAGCTGGGTGAAGGGTACTCAGGACTCCTGCACTATCTTTATAGCTCCCTGTAGATCTACAGGTATTTTAAAATGAAAAGTTATTCTTAAAAATAGTAAGGACTCTATTATATAGTGTATGCCTCCGCCATCCCCACCCCAAATAAATAAAGTTCACAGCAATACCTATATGGACATTGTTAATTGTTTTTTAACACTTTCAGGTCAATAGGCCACAGACTAATCCATTTCCTTACTGAAGTTCTTAATGGAATTTGGTATAATCATTACATGTTTAATGAGATTATCTCTCTCACACACCAGAGTTCAGTAACCTGAAAGAGTCACCATTAATTAAACTAGTTCTAAAAACTGCAACTGGTGTCTGAAAGGCAACCTTACTACCGATCAATTATTTTTATCTGTCTTGGAAGAAAATAATCAAAGGGCAGAATGACATGAACAAATAGATTCTTCACATTTTATCCAATACGATCAACAGCATTCCCTATCAAATCCATGAGCCCAAATTTTAAAAGAAGAGAAACAGGAAAAAATAAGTATACTTAATGTAAGTTCATTTCCATCCATGAGTCACAGGAGATGGGGTGACAAAGCCATTAATGCACAAAGAAATCAAAATACCCATCACACACCTGGGCCAGGAGGCTGGTGGTGGAAGGCCTCCTGACACACCTCCCTGTGGTTTCCGGCAAGCGCCTCGGTGGACAGCCAAGGAACATTACAGACTGTCCAATGGGGTCCACAGGGCGTTACCACATGTTACCATGAGCTTTCAGCACCTCTAGTGTGTCCTTAAATGGTGCTTTGTTCTGGAATCTCAAAGCTACAATACACTCATGCAGCTGTTTTGGACAAGGGCCATTCCACAGAGGCTCCAGGCGCTGGGGGAGGGGGGGCGCGGTCCTTCATCTTTTTTTTCTTGTAATGAAGACCGTGATGATGCTGGACTTGTGGAAGACACTGAAAACATACCAGTTAGATGTCCAAATGAATAAACCCTGTCTTTTGTCCCTTTATTCAGATCATTTTTCATTCCCAGAAAATTACCTCCTCTAAAAATGGAAAAGTCTTTTAGACCTGAAATAAGCATAATATAATTTAAATACACTTCTTAAAAATTCAAATGTTGACATGATTAAAGCTAAAAGATACCCCTGTGTTCTATCCTTATTAATATTGGAAATGGTGTTTTCAATATTGAAGTTGGCCTACACTTCTTTAGAAATAAACCTATGGGGATAAAAATAAACTGCCAGGTAAGCAATGTTCCCATCATTTCCTGGATATTATAGAATTGTATAAGATTTGTTAATTTTCTAAACTTTTAAGTCTTGATGAAACATTAAATTTTTTTAAAAAAATTTAAAAAATGAACATTCATTGTATCAAAAGACTTAATAGCACATCGCATTACACACTAAGAAAAACTCAATTTTCAGGCATTTAGTAAAAGCTCTCTAAAGAAAGAGAAGATTAAACATTACACTGGGGTTGAGGGAGGAGACTCAGCCCAGCCTGCATCCTCTTGCAATCTGGGACCTTTCAAGGGATGTCTGACTGCCGGTTTAGGCCCGATCCCACTGCAGATCAGGCCTAAACTGGCAGTCAGATATCCTTCTCGCAATCCGGGACCACTGGCTCCTAACTGCTCATCTGCCTGCCTGATTATCCCTAACCACCTCTGCCTGCCTGCCTTCCTGCCCCTAACTACTTGCCTGCCTGCCTGATCACCCCTACCGCTCCCTGGAAGGCAGGGCCAGCCTGGGCAAGAGGCCATGGTGTACTGCACTTTCCAACCAGGAATGTTTTAATAGACAGTCTCCAAAAACTTGAACTGGAAAACCTAAAAGTAGAGTGCTCAGATTTCAGGCATCAGGTGCTATTAGCAGGATTTCTATCCCAATTAAACTCTAATTCTGAGCTCTCAACAGTCTGGACAAACTGTCCTTCACTATCTCCAAAGTTTCTTATTCGTCACCATCCCATTTTCCTCTGCTTCAAACCAAGGCAACAAATGCAACCTTCAATTCTGATCTTCCTTGTGCAAGGGAACAGGAAACCTCTATTGAAATAATTTCCCACCAAAGTCACGTCCAAATACTGTGAGACTGAGGACTACAGGGCTGACTATGAACATGTGCAATAACAGGCTCACATTCTAGCCCAAGGCGCTCAGGTGTCCTCCACAATCCCATAATCCTCTGGTCGCATACTTCCGGTTTTTCTAATTCCTCCTTAAGTGGTGTTTCCTTCAGTTGCATTGCAACATCCAGGGCCTCTAGTTGGAGAGGATTTTTCTGTTCTTTGACGTTGATAGCTGTTTACTATTTGGAATCAGTGAAGTTTTGGGAGTCCTGCTGCTGCCATGAACATGTCTGTCCCAAGCGCATTTATGAGACAACTGCCCATTTAGTCCACGTCTGGTGCCGTCCTAGTTCCCAATGAGAAAGGTAGGTGCTGAGACATTCCAATAGGATCTTCTGCTTTCTTCCCCAGCACACTCCAAACCTACTCCGAGCTGACCATCCCAACCCCACAGACCATTAAGAGCTTCCCCCCTATTTCTTCAACTTTATCCCATTGAAACTGGCACCCTATTGCGTTGCCTAGGGGAGCCCCTAACTGCTCCCAGGGAGGCAGGGCCAGCCTGGCGAGGGGCCGTGGTGTTCTGGTCTCTGGCCATTCTGGTCACTGGCCTTTTATTATATAGGATATATACCATATTCTGGGACCACTTTAAAAAGGCAAGTGGGGCAGAATCAATAGATTAAGTCTATGTTGACAGACCCATTGAGAGCAGTTAGCAGAAGATGAAGAAAAATACGGTTTGAAAAGAACATTTGAGAGAGACTAAAAACAGCCACAGTGCGGTCATAGTCGATGCCTTTTCATTGGAGCACTCACTGTATTAATTTTAGATATTTTAATGCAATCTGCTGCAAACTAATTGCAATTGATCCAGAGACCAGCTTCATAGACATATAAACACATTGACTGCTTTTGCACTGACTCCAATTAAAGCCTGCTGCAAATCAGTTGTTCTTAAATTGAAAACTAGGACAGTGAACACAGTTCTAAAGCCACTGCTCACTCTGAGCTTTCATCCGGAGTAATTAATAATCACCTGTATTTGTCAACCCTAAACTTGGAAGAACAGGGTCACTGACTGGGTCTAAAACTTCATTAGCTCAACTTCGTTCATTAAGAATTTGTTATATATCTAGGGAGGTACAATTTAAATCTACTTTTGTATTTTCTAGGGGAAGTAAAAAGGAGAGAAGCAAATGGATGGTGTAAAGCAGTGGTCGGCAAACTGCGGCTCAAGAGCCACATGCGGCTCTTTGGCCCTTGAGTGTGGCTCTTCCACAAGATACCACGTGCAGGCGTGCATGTATAGTGCTATTGAAACTTCGTGGCCCATGCGCAGAAGTCGGTTTTCAATCGTTGTACTGTTGATATTGGGCTCTGTTGACTAATGAGTTGGCAAAAATTAGAAGCCATTCTGCTGAAAAGAATGAAGGCCTGTGATGTCACTGTGACGGTACGTGAACCTGCATACACACCCCGCACAGATAAAACACCCACCTTCAAACCAATCCGACAGCATCTTGCAAACCACCCACCCACCCGCACCCCGTGCACTGGGTCTGCTTCTCGGGTGCCGGCTAACATGGTGCTCACACGTGGACTGGGGACGCGGCTCTTTTGTGCAGTGTTCCCAAAGTAGAGGGGTCAGGGGGAAGCAACCTGAATGGTCCTGGAATAGAAAAGCCTGCACTGCAGCAGGTCAGACCATGTGAGGAACTGGAAACATCTGGCCAGCCACGAGCACCCGCATCCAAGGGCCCCGCATCCTCAGCTCCCTGGAACAGGTGTGCCAAACTGCTAACCACTGCAACCCTCCTGCGCTCTTTATTGGCTACCAGGGCCTCGAAGCCACCCGTGGAAAGGACGGAGCCACAGGGCTGAATCGGCCTGAATTTCTGAGTTATATCGGAATCACTGACCCTCCCCGCATGCGTGGGAAATAAATCAGAGATCGTGGGAATAACCTGTATTTGCTCATGGACCAGCCTAGTCCGATGAGCACGAGGCCCTGCCTGTGACTGTTCTCCCAGGCACATTAACGGAGTCAGCAGGTTTCTCTCAACATAGGAAGTAGAATAACATGAACATT